GGGGCAGATAAGGAGTCTGGTGTAAGACAGAAAATAAAATCTCGAGATGTCATGAGCTTGGAGACAGCGCACTCATTTCTTTTGTGAAGTTATTTCACATGTAGAACACCTGAACTTAATGTGCCAAATTCAAATTGGCGCCATTCGCGAATTAGGCCTATTCAATTCATATTTCGATCGGCCATTCTCCTATGTAGGGGGAAACGTTTGCAGTGCGCTCTGTCAGTGAAATATTTTCATCCGTCATTTTTAACTGGAAAAAAAATCACCACGGTTTCCGTCCCAAATTTCATACAGAGAAAGTAACTTTGTGCTGGACATTTCACTTGAATTTTACCCTTGGAATATAAAGTATGACAGAATCTTTTATCACATTTGTGGAAGCATGGAGCGATGTAAACTGCCGAAATCGTCCACAATTCTTGCGCTTGTTTAACCCCTTTGGCGAGCTTGCACTTTTAAGGGATTCAAAAAGGACTGAAACAAGTCTACGGTATATGGTCCGATACTTGCACAATAAAATCATACAGCCATTAACTCATGAAACGTGAACACTGTAAACCCAGTCAGACCCGTTCCGTCAGTGTACATGTACTGTATGCATCTCTTGCAGACGGTTGATTAAGCTGCACACGGTAGCTGTGCGACACCTTGCTTCAAAACAAACTGTTGTAGCGTCTTGGCAAAAAATCAAGAGGTCAGTGTCTTCCAAAATGGCGTCGAGGGCTGCCGATGCGAATGTTTCCCACCCATACTATCCACTCGATCTCAGCCTTCCTCACTACAAGGAGAACGCGCTGCCGTTCCATGTGGTGGTGGCTGTCGTCGTGGTCGTGTTTGCAGCCGTCTATCTGGCTGGCTGGATAGTGGTCAAGCGAGATCGGTTCGGTCGCCTCATCAGGATTGAGGAGAAAGTCAAGCTGAGTTGGTTTTGGCTGTCTGGCTGCATTCACTTGATACTGGAGGGGTACTTGACGCTGACCAGCGGCACAATTGCAGGGAGTAACAATATACTAGCGCAGATATGTAAGTTCCTGCCACTATATTACGTAGTATCAGGCCGCCGCACAGCGTGCACCTCCATTAATTATTGATTGTAAAATATTGCCAACGAGAACTTAAGGAGAACACGTCTTATTTGCTTTTTGTAAATCCAGAGGTATGCCCCATTAGAAAACACACGCACACAAAACCTAGTCTGTGCCATTTCTGCTTCTCACAATAAACAATCATTCAACTCCTGGGTCTACGTTTCAGGAAATAGCGCTGTCAGCATCACCTTTGAATTTGAAATCAAATTGTAAAACCGAAATGTGCATTTTGTTGAAATCTATGAGGCCCACAGAAAGCGGCACAAATGAAATTTTGATTTCTTTGCCTCTGAAGCATTAGTCTGGTGTGTTTTCGTTGTTTTCCGGTGGATTTTATGAGAGCCAATTGACTTTTTGTATTGACCAAACCTTCACAAACACTTGTCTGAGTTGTAGGTTTTCACTGCACCTATTTTATTTTCCATCACGCGTAGAAAAAAAACAATTTGTAGGCCCATCACACAAGTGACAGAAACCGTTACTTTCCCTCGCCAATGTAATTTCAAGTTTCCCCTTACACTGTGAAATTAACTCCAAAATTGTAACAGTCTGAGATAGGAATAATCTTTGTACTCTGTGTAGAAAATGCTCTGTGGCGCTGGGGTTAAAATATGCTGGAAAGTTTCTGGCTCCTTGGCGGATTTATTCTTGTAGGGGTGGCCGGGGAACTGAAATACGAATTAAATTGGTAAACGCTGCGTCAGTGTTGCCTCCATAACAAGCCTCGATTACCCCAGGAGAGCCACCCCCGCGTAAAATGAGTCCGCCCTGGGTTGCATAAAATTCAAAGAACACCGCACTATTATAAAAAAGACAACATTAATGCAACGGTGATAAAATCAAAATAACGGGTGCTGTCCTTAAAATAGAGTCCCGAAGTCTAAAATTGGCATGAGCATCATTTGCAAAAGCCAGTTGTTTATTGTCCGTACTATGATATCGATAACTCAAGTTCTTAATTTAGGATTTGTTCCCCAGAGGCTGAGCATGTGTCGTGCTCTTTGACAACAATTATTACCTTTAACCTTTGGACCGCGCTCACTGAATGAACAAGTTCAATTCCAAAAATAAATGCATGGTTGCTCACCGTAATGCCAATTAACATTTTCACAGTAGGCCTACGCGGTGTGTGTGGTGCATGATTGAACTTTTTGTATTCGGTATTTAAACGTGATAGACCGGGGTGGGCTATACGATAATCTATGCCTTTACAGCTATGGCGTCCAACGTCTCCCATCCATACTATCCCAGGGGGATGCACCTGCCCCACTACAGGGAGAACACCTTGTCCCTCCAGTACATCCTCACGGTGGGGCTGGGAGCCTTTGCTGTGATCTACGCCCTGGCCTGGATTCTGCTCAAACGCGACCGGTACGGCCGCACCTTGGCCCAGGGGGAGAAGGCCTCCCTGTGCTGGTTCGGGTTGTGCGGCTTCATCCACATGATCTTAGAGGGGTATCTCACCCTGACAAGTGCCAGCATTGCCGGCAGCGACCACATCCTCGCGCAGATGTGTAAGCCAATCTCAACTCCGCATGTCTGACCGTGAACGATAAGCCACGTAATTTGTCAGTGGTCACTGCACGACATCTCGTCGACAATAGCGGCAGTTTTACGGGATGACCCTAGTTTTCTCTGCCCACTCCGCTACTTCCCACGATGATTGCCTTTTCCTCTTTAGCCTACAACAGGGTCCACCATCCACAGCATTTACCATTTTACAAATCTCCCCAAATTAGCTTTGGCCAGCCAAATGAACCAGGCGAGGTGCAATCACTTGAGTGCGATGTCGTGCATCAAGCTTGACTATTATACGAGTTTTTTTTCAACTTATTGGTTTTTGTTCGCAATACAACAACCTTATGTTATTCACTGAACTGAGTAACTAACGAAGTTGTTATTTCATATTTCAGGGAAGGAATATGCAAAGGGAGACAGTCGATACGTTTCGTAAGTTTTTTGAAAGTATATTTCAAAGTCAACCGTTATATTTGGTCGTTTTTAGTCCCGTAATAACTCCGTATAATTTTTGTCTGCCAATCCATCACCAATGACTTAACGATTATTTTGTACCGTGTATGTAAGTCACGTTTTGCCATCATTAACTTGTCACAGAAATGACACATGCACCATTGTCATGGAAACCATCACGGCTTGGCTGGAGGGACCCGGGTGTCTTTTAACCGTCTGGGCGTTCACCACAAGGCATCCAATGCGTTACGTGATGCAGCTCGCCGTCTCGATTGGCCAAACCTACGGTAATGAACAATCACTGGTCTCTATACACCGGATAGGCAACTATGCTCTGCGAATTGAAGTGACTGCGCGGCCCTCTTAGGCTATTCAATACAATTGCATTTTCCAAGTCACCGGCTTTAGCGCCGTGCATGAATGCACTTTAGTGAATGGACTGAAGTATTGAATATCCTAAGATGGCCGCGCGGTCACTTCAATTCACACATAGGCAGTTACCTGAGCTGCCTATCCAGTGTACAAAGATCAGTGTCAACAACATTGACCTAAACCTCAGTACTGACGTCACATCATGCCTTGACTACTGATTTCTTCCTAGAGTGGCTTGGCCAAGAAGGCCGTTTTTTCCGACCCCTGGGGGTCAGGATTGGAGGTCGACGCCCAAAGTCAACCTATGGTGATATTGTCTAAAGCGTTTTAATTCGGGCACGTTTATGAAAAAATCGTAAATCAAGTTAAGTGCAATTAAAGTGCGTTTTTTATTACCGGGTACGAATTGTTTTGGGTACGAGATGTCCCAATACCGAAAAGATGTACGGGATTGATTCATTCCTGCCCCTTTTTTGTGTCATGAAATCCAACTGTTCAGCGGTAATCACAAGGTAGGGAGGGGATCATGTGCGTCCATTGTCCTCCTCTTTGCTCATAGATGTCCCATTTACTTCCCTTTTTTCCAAACAGGGGTTCTGATCTACTTCATCACCGAATACTACGACGATTTCGCTCACGGCCCGCTATTCCACCCCGTCTACTTCTGGCTCTACGTGATCGGCTTCAACGCGCCCTGGGTCATCCTCCCGCCGATATTCATCCGCCAATCCTGGCAGGAGTTAAACAAGGCACAGAGGGCGCTAGACAAAGCTAACGGCTTCATGCCACCGTCTGACGGCCAAGGAAAGTCCAAGAAGAAGAAATAGATTTCTAATGGCGTATATTTACATTTATTTGGGGATGAGTAAAAACACAGACTTTGCATTTAATCAGCGGAGGTTGGGGATACTCATGAGCAACATAATTTGAATACATCTGTTTTCTTTTGGTCACAGTGTAAACAGTAAATCCACTGTGAACGCAACATAAAGCTTTCTACTTTGGTTCACAACTTTATCATAAACTTATTTGTATAATTTTGACAGTCTGCCACGGTAATTTTTCTTTATTAAAAATGCAGATTTTAACATAGGTTTTTAAAAGTAGTTCGTGTACATTTTCTGGGAATGGGTAACAGGTTTTTTTAACATTGTGAACCGTTATGAAATAAAACGAGTGTAAAACTATTTTGACGCACAAAGTTGATAAACTCCAGTAAAAAACATCTTGTAAGCACTCTGGTCCGGTATCAAAGTAAGGAAAACAAGTTGCTCTTTCTTGTAGGTGCTGATATGCTGCTGAATCTGCGGAAATTAGGGACTTCATAAAGAAAATGCACAGAGTAATATGTGTGCTTCACAGTAGTGCACCTCCAAGAGTTTGCAACTCGTTGGCCAGTCGCAGTGCGCAAAATCTGTCGACCCAATGCGCGTTCGGAGAGGGTCGACAGATTTCACCCGCTGTGCTTGGCCAACGCGTTACAAACTTATGGAGGCTCACTGTTGTGAATTTCAGTCACTTTTTAAACTTTTGATTTAGTTTTTAACTCTATTCAAACACTTTTATTCCATTGTGATGTTGGGGGGGTTCATTTTATATTGTGAGAATTACGAGGGCGAGGTGTTTCCCATACTGAAATGAATCCCGATACCGTGCACGATATGGGGCCGATGGGTACCCCCCCCCCACATGTCCAATCCCTATACATGTACACACTCTAGACTATTGGTACCTAACACATCCCCCCTAGATCTCTGTAAAGAATTCTTGAGATTCTGATCAAACACTGACCAACACAAAGGTGTGTGTGTGGGGGGGGGTGCTCTCCGCCCCATATCTTGCATCATATGAAAATCTTACGGAATACTAATTTGGACTGGAGAAAAATCTCACTTTTGTTTTACTTAGACCTGGGGGGGGCGGTAGGGGGCGAGTGGATATTTGCGATTTAGGATCAGATGGTGGCAAAACATTGTTTTCGTGTAAAGAAACAAAACATCCCTGTTCGTCGAGCGGTGTCAAGGCATGTTTTTGCGTCGTAATCATTAAACTGAATTTTAAAAAAATGAGTTTCTCTCTACAGAAATTTGGTGCTCTTTGTAATGCTTGAGATTCTATGTATACTCTGACACGTATCGCACACTGAATGGTTTTAGCACTAAGTCTAACGGTCACATCCCTGCATGAAAGGGACAAAGCTTTATAGCCTAGAGATTCAAAATACTTGTGGAGTGTCTGATGCACTGCACTGTACTCGGAGAGCGACTGGTACCAAGTTGAACTTAATCACCAAGCCGAGCTTAATTCGGCCGCCAAACGGGGGCGCTATCCAAGTAAAACAGCACAAAACCCACATTCTGCACTGCGTGTGAAGCGCGAGAGCAGGTTCGAGCAGTTGCACAGCTGACAAGAATCTTGAATTTTGTCAAGTTTTCACACTATTTCCCCATTTGATGGAAATCTGAAGAAATGAATGAAGGCTGGCTCGAGCTCGAGAGTGATCCAGGTAAGTCTCATTTACCAACAAGTGTCCGTGGGTGGCCTAGACCTACGTCGAGAACTCGAAGTCACTAACTCCGTGATCAGGTGATACTGCCTAGAGCTAGCCCCTCTGGCAGGGACTCTCACTCCCGCTCCATCCTTAGCCACATGTCCGTATACGCAATATACTTATCATCGCACCCACTTATCATCGTGGGCGCAATTTCTTTTGCGCACAGACCCATGAAAGAGAGGATCCTTAGCCTCTCTGCTTTCTTAGCGCCATTTACCAATTGAATGATTTCAGTCACGTTCTCTTAATTTCCAGTCTTTTTGCCTTCACCCATTCCATCTCACAGGCTCGCTCTGACAGTCGCCATCTTTAAAATCAGTTCGTTGAACATTACGTCACTTGTGCCCTCATCATCTCGACGGATTAGTTGCGACAGGTGTTTTCTTTTTGTGAACATAAAATTGTCATTTTGACTTAGTTTTGTTGATAATTTTTATAGAGGGAAAGACAATAGGAACACTTTTAAGCAGCCAATAATGGATTCAGTAGGCCATTTTCTGCAAGTTGGCAAACAGTCAAGTTGTCTGACATCCTCAACTTGGACCCAGACCAACTCAGACCCATGCCATCTTGGACCCTAGACCCGTAAACAGGGCCCTGCGTTTACTCCTTCATCGATATACATGTACTGGGCCCTGTACCGATTGATAGTGATTTCTTTCGAAGTTTCGATCAAGTTTATCCGTGATTGTCCGGGGGACATTATCAGACATCCGCTGGATTTTATGAGCTCAAATTGCACCTGTGTGTTCATTACTTACGCTGCTAACTATCCCTGAGTTTGCTACTTGCAGAAAACTCGCCTTTTTCCTTATTTATAGGAAAACATGGTGCCGTCAGTAGTCATTTTTCCGTCTCCAGATGAATATTAGACTGTGAACCAGCTCTGATATGTTCCCATTGTTGGACCAATCAGTGGTGTGAGCTTGAGGCTGGGACTGGGAAGGGGGATTGATGAAGTAAATCGAAAACTTGCCACAGTGTCAGGCTGTGAACATTTGAAGGGGGGGGGAACGGCCCGGCACCCTTTGACACTAGGGGGCGCTGTTTATGATACAGATACTGTACATCTGTAATATACTTACACCTCTAAACTTGAAAACAGCATATTTATAGCATTTTTAAACTTTTTCTCCTGTAGCCAGTACCACTGCATACATTGCTGTTGTTTGAATATTTGAATACCAGAAAAATTCCTCAAAATCTGCATTATTTTTTGGTCTCAAAAATTAAATGCAAACCCAGGGAAATATATGTTTCATTTCACGATCATGTGTCATTGATATGTTACTTTCTATTGTGTTACAGGGCTGTTCACACTACTAGTTGAAGAGTTTGGTAAGAAAAATGTAGAATTGTTGCATACTTGTACATGTATGTTAAAAAGGAAAACTTTCCATGCCTAACTACCTGTGCCTCATAATTTTTCAGTGATTTTCTTGTTTACTTGGTCAAAATCATTGTACGCTGAATTTTCTTTCAGAAATGAAAAGGCTCAGTCTGTTTGTGTCAAAAGTTTGTATAAATTTGGTATGGTTTGTTGTAGATAAGGAACACTCAGCTTTACGGCCAAGGACAATGGGCAGCCTTGGCTTGCAGATCTCCCTGTGTCTGAGCCAAAGAGTTTGGTTTTGAAAGCTGATAATGTAATCTTGTCCATTTTCAGGTATGCCTGACATGCCTGTTGGATATGAAATTCAGGGTTCCAGTCACAGGCAGTGTGGTAGCCTACCCATCATTGGAGGTTTCCACTGCAGCAAACACAACCAATTTAAAACAGAACAGGTTATTTAAAAAAAAAACAGTTGTATTGTCTGGTTTTTTAGAAGAAATGGAAGAGTGGCCCAAAAATTTGTAAACAAAACAAAAACAGATTGAAGTTGAAATTTGAAAGCAGTGAAAATCTTGACTGACCCCTTACACAGCACATTTTCCAAATGGTGGATTGATTTGCTATACAGTCGACTCTCGTTAATACAAAGGCTTTGGGACTTACTACATGTATAGCTCGCATTATCCAGACCTCGTCTTATGCTGTAAATATCTGTGAATGCTTCAGAAGTGTCAGAAGTGAAGAAACTTCCCCCATGACAGGTTTAAACTTACGTATGTAGTGACTGGTGATGTTTGAGTCGAAATATAATGTAAATTTTACCAAAATAGTAACTCATTACTAAAGCAAAACAATTCCAGAGAACAGAAACAAAGTAAGTAGGGATGAAAAACCGATTTTTAATTATACTTTGCCGTTTATGTATCCTGTTGATTAACCAACAGGTGTACAAGGAGTTCAGGTGGAAGAGATCTATGACCTGCAGAAGCCGATTGAGGGCCCCGTCTTTGGCTTCATCTTCCTGTTCAAATGGATCGAGGAGAGGCGTGCCCGGCGGAAGGTGCAGAACAACGGCGAGGAGGTGTACCTGACAGATGCCCAGGTCACCAAGGAGATGTTCTTTGCCCATCAGGTGGGCCGAAAGCTCTGTGTGCCCCGTCAGTGTTCCCACGGTCATGTAGTAATGGAAAATTGGGGACAAAAGTCAGGTAGCCTTGAATCCCATTGTCAAAAGAAAAAGTCCTGAAAAAGTCTCTTAAATCAAGATCATTTAAGGGTTATTTTTGACCGGTATTTTAATGCAACAGGTAAACATGAAAAATTTACGGGCTATCCTTGCCAGTTTTAGTAGTTGCTGTGTCAGGTCTTATAATTCATATCAAATAATTTTCTTTCTTCAAAATAACATTGGATGTCGAGGAAATTGTCATGTTTTAAAATCCTGGAATGTTCTTAAAAATTCATAGAATTCGGTTTTTAAATTGCTATGGGAGCTTTTGCCCAAGCTCACCTGTCCCTGATTTGCAATTTGGGGGGAGGGGCATGATAGTTGCACCCTCCTTTTTCATTTACTTGTACCTGTACCTGGAGAACCTTGTCTTTGTGGACGAGTCAGTTAATATGAACATTGCTTGCTCCTGAAAACTGCACTGGAGTTCTTCAGTTTGAGTTCCAGTCTCCAGTGTCTAGTGCCCGAGTACACGTAGGTGTTTGCTGGATCTGAAGGACACGTCCTGCAGGTTTAGTATTACTCGATGAAAATTACTCAATGAAAAAAGCGTGCTCTCTGCTTAACTAAAAGAAGTCTGAGTTGACTGAATTGGAATTGATGCGGAGTGTTGTTAACTCGAAATTTGCTGAAATTCTTTGTTCATCATCGTTTTGTTCAAATTCTCTGAAATCCTTGAAGCAGGTGTATCTCCGTGGCGAAAATGATACGATGTGAAATGTAAAAATGATATGACCAACTGTGCAACTCGGTGACACTGACCAGGATCATTCATTTTTTGCCGTCATTTGTCCCTTCACCACACAGAAAGTCCCCAATTCCTGTGCTACTCACGCCCTACTGAGCGTACTCCTGAACTGTGACTCCATTGAGCTGGGCAGCACGCTCAGCGACCTGAAAGAGTACACCAAAGACTTCAGTGCCGAGGTAAGGACCGGACACTTTCCGGACATCACCGCCACGATTTTGAGTTCAAGTCAGGCTGCAGCCGTGTTTGTCCTTGTCTACTGCCTAAAGCCCTAGAGTCTGTGTCGACGTATATTTGCCTCGAGCATGAAACACCCCCATTGGTTGAAAAGAGCTGCGTCAGTTGGGAGTGATCTGCGCATTTCCGCGTTTGAAAACGAGGCTGTATGTGTCAGCTTCAATTCTTAATACGATCAAACGATTGAAAGTAAGGAGTCAAGACACAAAATACATAACGGTATGTTAAATTCAGACTTTTCAGGCTGCAAATTGTTGTGGAAGAGTCTTTCAGGATGACTCGACACGTAAAATCCAAAGAAAATAACGACAATTGACCGCGAACTAACGTACCTGCGATGGTCGTGTATCTTGTGCAATGGGCATGGTTTAAACTGAAGTGGCGTCACACTTACAAATTGGATTCTCCATGTACTGTATCGACTCTGCGTGCGCGTGCGAGGAAGTTCAACACAGAGCCTCGGTTTCGATGCAGATATGTGCAGACGGCGCTAATATGAAATCCCTCTATTTGTTTGTAGCAATGCGACTGTGATACATGCATTCCCCAGTAGTTCTTGAGCCAGTTTTTCACCACAGGCCCCTCCATTGCTATTAAAGAAAATGGCGCCCTCTCTTAGTTCAGCTCGAGGCCCGTGTAGACATAGCACCCACAGACGCACAATCCTACATGTAAGGAAATGACTTCATCACGACTGACACAAACGCAGACAGTTGCAAAGGACGCAAAGATTGGAAATGTTTTTAAAAGACAAAGCTTGCTCCATGGTATTAATTTTCCCGTAGTTTTACACGTGTGTGCCAACTCTATGACAAAAGCGAGGAGGTAAAAACTGAAGGGTTTTGCGGGGAGAAAATGGTCCAGGAAGGTCAAACGTTGAAGGTTTTCAAAAAGTTGTAGCACGGCCTTAGGGCTCAGTATTTCGCCGAAGGTGATATGCAAACAACCTTTGTCCACTGGTGCTCACTGGCTCTTACAGGTCTAAAACAATCTGAACCCTAACATTGTAATGAAATCCTGCTGTCCTGTACTCGTCAGAACTGTTAAGGAATTGCATGTGTATCCATGGTTTGTGAGATACACATGTACCAACTGTGGGCATTAATCGAACTGACAAGTCTTACACGTATAATTCATATAATGCCATGAATTTTCAATTAAATCAGTTGACCTTGTCAACGGAGTTCAATGTGAAACAGAAGATTGCAAACGCTCACACAGAGTCAGTCACAAACTTGGCAAAGTTCACAATATTCACAAAGATTGATCGGAATCCTTCAAATAACTCACATTCACAGCGACCTGGGTCACACAGAGTTAGAAGTTATCAACAAGTCCAATGTATGTTCAAAACTCCTTCCAATTTTGATGAGAATAGAGGCAAAAGCGACACGAAATACCACTGTTAAAGACGAATATCAGCTCCCTTGAAATGGCAAAAAATCATGAGCCCCCATCGCCCCATAATCCTTTGCGCGGCCACTGGCCACACTTCTTATGCAGATGTTATGCAAATCTCATGCAAAGGAGTGTGAGCAAGGTTAAACTATCATAGGTGGGGCCAAAGGTCGAAGGTAAACAAGTGTAAGCATTAATTACCATATAAGGACGAGATCTTGAAAATTACAGCACATAACACTTGACGTATCCCAGCACGAACTGAGATGAATTAGAAACCTTGCCATGCCTTTGTGGAGTGGTTACTTCAAGCCTTACACTGTGGGTGTTTTGCCAGCTAGTTTTAATAGCCAGATATACTAATACCCTCAAGCTATGCAAAGGCCTGTGAAGAATGCCATACCTTATGAGCAAAGCCTTCGAACGGACTGAATTTGTAGAGGGTGCCAGTCACATAACGTGGGCTCAGCTTGGCAATAAGCACAGAATGCGCTGCTGACCTCCACCGTGACCTCCACTGCAAATCACAAGGCAGTCGTAAGAAATTGTATATTGAAGTGATTTGGAGGATGTCAAAGAGCCAGGCTTATTAATGCAGTGGTTCTATCTGACTGCAGAACAAGGGCTTCGCCATAAGCAACGTTCCCGAGCTGTCTAGGATCCACAACTCACACGCCCACCCGGAGCCCCGGCAGATACCGGAGAAGCAGACAGGGATCTCCACCACCCGAGCCCGGGAGACCTTCCACTTTGTCAGCTACGTGCCCATCAACAACCGGCTGATCGAGCTGGACGGACTCAAGCCCCACCCCATTGACCATGGTGAGCTCACGCCACTATCATTGACCCCTCACAGACGTTTTTTTGTTTTTGTTTTACCTAAAAGCTGACCTTTAGAGAAGGCAAGATGCGTCGGCCCACAGTTAAGGGATATTTACCTTGCTGACATCTTTAAAATCCTGAAAGAAATTCTCGATTTCTGAATCCTGCAAATTCAAAAAAATTTCTACTAAACTACTTGCAGACTCTTAATACTCGTAAGTGCAAAACAGTTGGATATGTAGACATATTGGACGGGCTGTAGAGTGGTAAATCTATCAAACTACAAGGTTGGTGATTTGCGAGAGCCTCGTGCAGTTAAAAGCTTTGGACAGAGCTGATAACAATCTGTAGTCTATGATTACATGTGCATTAGGGCTATTGTCCATCACAAGTCCCGGCAAGTCCATCATGCAAGTCCATCTTATTAAGATAAGTCATGCAGTTTTGAGCCAGGTCACAAGCCATTCCAGCGAACTGTGATGTCGGCATTCATTTCTCCTTGTCCGGCTCTCTGCGTCTGGTCTTGTGACCAGACTTGTAAAAGGACTTGCGATAGGACTTTACTCGAAAGCACTGATGTGGACGTCTGTCCTCCCAAGGCAGTGATTCTTAAATACAGATGGAACCTCTCACACTGAGCCTGCCTTTTTCTCTGACCTTCTCCCAAGGACCCTGGGGAGAGAACGAAGACTGGACGGAGAAATTCCGGCGAGTGATTGGGGAGAGGCTGGACAACGAAGGGTAGGTACCTGCCACGCCTATAGATGAATCCCGCTGACATTTTACTGGATGCTCCCGATGGCCCCTTGAATGGCGGTAGGTTTTGTACGGAGCAACTGTTTGGGAACAGCTGCTCCGTACAACAGCTTTCACAGTGCTCACTACCATTAAAGGCGGCCGCTGCAAACGACCAATGATGGTGTTACCATGGTCACCGGATTCGTCTAGACCTGGCAGATGCCACTGAGGCAGGGCCAACCAAAAGAGAAGTGTACCACATCAAATCTTCAACCATTGCTCTGCTTGAGCCTCAGAAATACGTTCATGTTTGCACGTCAGTAGTCTTTTATCGAGCAAGGGTTAGAAATGCATTAACCACCCCACCCCTTACCGCCAGTCCATCACCACTTTTTCCCAAGTTCCCAAATATCTAAGTCCTGGACCTGCTGGTTTGAGTCTCAAAATGTAAGAGAATGTAGAAAGGGTAAACTAGGTTTCTGTTTCAATGCGAAAAAATCACGGGGTTGCAGTTGTCAGTGGGATTCAAACCCATAGCCTCTGAAACACAGCATCATGGGCTTTTTAGTGACCTTTTCTGATCACGCTTTCCACGTAAAAATATTCAACGGCGGAATACTCCAGGTGTGTGTGTGCACACTGCCACTTTTCAAACCAAGTACAAATAATTGGTTCTGCCGCAAAGAGAAATGCCCCAGGGACTTGGGTCACACCTCGGCAGAACTACTTTTGATTAACAGGCCTATAGCCCTAACAGTCCCAAATCTTCCGATTCAGTTTGGTCTTACATACATCCAAGGGGGTTAGGGTTGACCAAATGTTGCATATTGGAATTTAAGATATGGAAATTGTCGGCATTGTCTGGTCACCTTAATTTCCATATTTGTGAGATTGCTATGAACCCCTTCACTCCGGGAGCCGTCGACGGCCAGGGTTTTGTGTGAGGATTAGTGCATACCACACATACATGTGTATTCTATTCACCATGCACCTGCCGTTTCAGTGTGGGCCTGCTGCTTGACAAGGCTTTGCATACTGGGCATACAGCAGCCCAGCAGGTGCGGTCAAAAGAATCCCCGCGTTAAGGGGTTAAAGAAGAGTGATATATCAAACCGAAGGGTTTTGGTTATCTGTGGGACTGTATTTGAATAACAAGTGAAAAACTTTAAGACTCATTTTGTGAGAGCCAGTCTCACTTTGACCTTTGCAGTGGGTCATCAGACATTCGGTTCAACCTGATGGCTGTAGTCGGAGACAGATGCCAGTCTTACGAGCAGAAGCTGGACACACTCAAGAATAATAAGCAAATCATACTGGACGCTCTGGATCAAGTAAGACAAAAATTCTGTCTTTGAGAGGCGACTTCAGTGTTGGTTGAATAGATCTTAGACTGAACAGTTTATATGGGTTGAAAAGATGTTGAGAGCCTCCTCATGCAGAGAGTCCCATTCTTTTTTTAATAGTTGAACCTTTTTGTTTTTAAATTTCCCGGAAGAATTGAATATTTTGAGGATCTTCTCATTTAAAGGAGTAGCTTGTTTGGAATTTTATCTTTGTATGGAGATTCCTCTGGGTTTAGAATGGAGGTCACTTTACACTAACTGGCTTTTTTATTTAGGCCTAATCCACTAAGGGATAGCTCGTTGGAAACAAGTTTTCTTTTTTGCATCTCTCTTCGTAAGTACCACTTGCACCAAAGTGCAAGTGGCACCTACGAAGAGAGTAAATTCAGAGGTGTGAACGTTCAGCTTTTTAGCTGATTTCAGCTTTTTAATTCAGATGTTGACCCTGAATTTCAGCTTTCTTGTACTCCTGGTCTGTACAAAAGTGTGGGAACTTTTAACAGTTCAGCTTTTTGCTAGCTGTTTTCAGCTTTTGTTTTAACTGGCCACTCAAAGCCCTGTAAATTGTCTTTCAGAGAAAATTGACCAGAAGGTAAAATACATAACAGTGGAACAATGTTAGCACAGGGTCCGATATGTACAAAAAAGCATGTTTAGTTTTCATTCATATGGACTCAAAAAGTCCATTGTGATGTGGGTGTATCAGACGCGCAGTTTGCTTAGCTAGTTATGCTTCCAACTTTTATCCTGCAGCTGATTCGGGCAACCCATCCGCATCTGTTCCTCGACGGAAAACCCAATCCCAACTCCTCAGCAACCGCCTCCGTACCCAAACTTGAGACCTTGGACCGCCAGCCCACGGCCTGCCCCTCGCCCAGCCCCGACCCCCACGGCCAGCCCTCTCCCCAGGGCCCCTCAGCCAGCAGGCGATCCTACTCCAGAGAGCTGCCGGACCCGGACTGGGATCCCTCGCAGGAGCAGGGAGGCGGCGGCGGTGGCCCCCGGAAGGAAAAGAAGAAAAAAAAAAAGAAGAAAAAGCACAAGAAACACAAGAAGCATTCCAAGAAGTTGAAGGTGCAGGAGAGCATTCAGCAGTACAGGTAAACGAAAAGGAGCTCTGGAAATGCTTCAGAGCCTGAAATCGGCCGAATGAGCCGTTGCGTTGCATTGATCCATCTGCTTTATGCTTTCAAGGCAGGCTGCCGACAATGGACGGAGCATACTCTCCGAAACCTTGAGTACCCTGCGGTTCTTTTCAGAACCACGCACACCCACAAAAGAAAAACTCTGCGTGGTGCTACCAGGAACGTATTACATGTACTTAACTCACCAAATTCACTGTGAAAAACTTCAACTTTCGTGCTTTAGGCTTTACCAATCTGCCCAGTGTTGAAGCGCACCCTCACTGGCAAAGGCGAGACACGCCGGTGGGAAATCTTCTAAACTGGGCTTGTGCACGTGTAAAGACTGTACATTCAAATAGAAATTGATCGATCTTGCCCAGAGCGTCCTTTGTCAAACGAGCATGAATGTGTGGGCGTGCTAAGAGTTCCCAACTTAACCACTTCCTGCCGGGGACTCCGGGATCGGAGACGTATGGTTTATATGCGTGGCCGGGGTCTCCGAAC